TTTTAACGAAGAATTACGTTGGCTGCTTTTAACATGACATTATTGTTGCTGCATTTATAGCAGCTCTTAGGTATAATCCATTCATATTTAAACTCTAAAGACAGGATTGTGTTGCGTTCACACGTACTCTAACCAAAACTAGTTTTACTATTATGACATTGTCGGTCAGAGGTTAACTACGCATGGGCAAATACTGTTATCTGGCATATCTGTACAAATCCCGTCACAAATTCGGCGAAAATTGTTAAACCATACCTTACCATGACCACGTTTGGATAACGTTCTCTCCCAACTCATAAATATGGAAACGTGTTTCTTCATCTCCCCAGCCCACTCCTCCATTAAAATTGGCATTGTCGCTTGGTAGCACTGCATGATGCCGATATTTTCCCAGGAATATTAGTTACTGCGCATGCCCAAAACGAGCTGTCGCCGGGATTTTAAGCCAACCCGTTCAGTCGTCCAAGGTGAACCGGGTTAAAATAAAAAGCCGAAGATTTTAAACCAGTTCAATTTGAGCGTCTGAACGGGCTAGAAGACATTCACCAACATGTTTCTTCATTTTACCCCCGTTGTTAAATAAGCCTTTTTGTTGTTGTTTTTGTTTGTTCTTGATTGCATCCAATACATTCACTTGATTACATCCAATACATTCACTTGATTACATCCAATACATTCACATGATCGGAGAAATATACGTTTGTTGTTATTTAACCTGTCCGTGGGTTTGTCTTGTGTAGTTGTTTATGTGTGGTGTGGTCCTCCATCACTTACTATTATGATAAAATTCGAGGGGTCGGGCATCTTTTCTCTTCGTCGTTAATAATTATTTATTTATTAAATGTTAAGTTTATATTTGTGCAATGCATATTGATTTCGTTTTTATCTGTTTATGATGTATCAATAAAAAATCTTATCTTATCTTATCTTATCTTAAAATTCTTCTTCGTCAGAACAAAATCATTTAGAAACCGGAAGTCCAGCTGATGCGTATCATCACATGCGTGAGAAACCGGAAGTCCAGCTGATGCGTATCATCACATGCGTGAGAAACAGGAAGTCCAGCTGATGCGTATCATCACATGCGTGGGGAAAAACAATCCACTTGCTTTATGTAGCAAAGAGAAGTTTTGTTTTTTGTCCGGGTGTATAAAAAAACAAATTTTATGCCATTTTATGATGTCACCGTGTTTAAAGTTGATAATGACTATTTTGTTGAAGGTTAATAACCATTGTTCAACATGCTCCAGATACCCGTTAATATCAATTATCACTTTGTGTAGTTCAATAATTTACATATGTTTACTTCTACAATGGTTTCACGAGTTATGTGGCTTTAGGTCATAACGTCTGTTATTGAATCAAATATTCTGTAATAGAACCAATTGCTATACACCCCACATTTCAGTGGGGGCGTTTTACCAATATCTGTCCGTCCGTTCGTCCCTCAACCAATAGCTTGTTAACGATAGAGAGAGAGAGAGAGAGAGAGAGAGAGAGAGAGAGAGAGAGAAATGGGGTTTAACGTCCACTCGACACAAACTAGGTCATTTCGGGACTAACATATGTTTTTTTTTGTTTTTTAAAATTTTATTTCAATAATTCGCTTGCGCGTACGGGTCTTTAGCAGTGGGAAGAAACCGGAGGACCCGGAGAAAACCCACGAGATTGGACAGGCGACCCTACTCCTTGTCACGTACAACCGGGGATTCGAAACCACGCCAGTTGACTCAATGACAGGCTTTATGATACAGCACGCACGTGCTAACCATTCGGCCATCCAACCCCCCTGTTAACGATATAGAGGATACACGTGCTAACCATTCGGCCATCCAACCCCCCTGTTAACGATATAAAAGATACAGTTTTTAACCAATCTGATTATTAAAATACAGATCTATATTTCGATTCGGATTTTTATACTTTCGATGGCCTACATAACATGAAGATCTGACCGATTGTACTAGAAAGTCGCGTCAGGGGTCGTGCCAACGGCTTTTAACCCTAGGAACTCAGACAATGATTAATCAATCAGCCATGACGTTTCTAGTGGTTTACCCACAATTCTGTGCTTCGCACGCCAAGAACTCGCCGAAACAGACCGTTTCATTGGCTAATCCCTCACTTCAACCAGAAGGCCGGTAGTATATATAACAACTCTTCCAGATCCTAGTGTAGTGAAGTATTTAGGTCATGTTAGGACGAATTCCATCGAACTATCACAGTAGTTTTTATTTTGACAAGAAAACCCTGTTAACGCGGTAAGAGTCCACAATGTGTAATTTATGTTGTAAGGATTTGCTTCCTGAAGTGACAGACGATAACAGATACACGGCCGGATGTCAGCTCACTCATAATTCCTTTTCAAGATGAAAAGTTGTTATATGATATTGTTGATTGTGGATGCGGCGGAGGGTGTGGAGGCCTCTAAATCTCTTTTAGCCGCCCCGCCCCCCACCCCACCCACCCCACACACACACTACTCTCCGATCACCCCAAACAATAAATACCTTACATTAAAATAATAATGGGGTGGGGTGAGGGATCTGCGCCTGATCTTCAATAACACCGTCGTAGCCCCTCTAACGACCGAACCCTGCACAATGTATATAAATCTTTTTTGTGCGGTAAAAGAGCCCTTGACAGTTGGTGTTCGATACAAGAGTAGGCCGTAGATCCGCTGCCCTGTCAAAATTTCTCGCCAAGCACACTGTATGACGCAGGTCCGTCTTTTCCGTACGGATGAGTAGGATGTTAAATCCCATTTTATTTCATTCATTATCTACATTAAAGATGTTTAGTTATTTTTAAATAAAAAACCGAATCATTAAATGTATTAACGTCAATGTATCGTTCAGGTCATTAGCAAATAGTGACGACATAATCTAAGTGTACACTTGTTATTCACATCCATCATATTTTCTATCAATCTGTTTCACAGAGGATTACGAAAGTCTTCTAATATCTCTGTAAAAGACGACTACCTTCAACACGTGACATCCCATCACGCGGCGCCAATCATTGTCCCAATGGCGCGTGCTTTGTTTACATAAGATTTTACTGGTTCGAGCGGAATGGAGTTTTTTACTCATTTTAATACCCATTTATACTAAATAGGAAATACGTTTTACCTACAAATACGTCAAACGTCTTTATTTATATTTCTAATACATAAAAAAAAAATATTTTAGAATTTAATTTGTCGGAGGAAAAAAGTTAATATTTGTGGCTCATTAAGTCGCATCGACGTCATCCTTATCAGTGATAGTAGCGGCCTATGTGATCTTCTATCCGGAATGAAAAACTCCCCGCGCTTGAAAATAATGACTTTCAAGTTTTATTAGCTGAAATACAACTTGATATATCGTAGTGATATTTAGTATTCACCTTACGTACGTCCGAACCATAACCACACGGGTCTGTGTTAATTAGCTTCAGTATGATTCAGTTCATTACGTTTACAATATGTCTCTAGTGTATTGTCAACTGGCGTGGTTTCGATTCATCTGTTGTACGTGACAAGGAGTAGGGTCGCCTGTCCAACCTCGTGGGGTTTCTCCGGGTCCTCCGGCTTGCCCCAAATGCTAAAGACCCCTGCACGCAAAAGAATTATTGAAATAAAATTGAACCATTTGTTATTGGAATAAATTGAACCATATCACCTACTTTATGCCGAGTGAACGTTAAACCCCATCTCTCTCTCTCTCTCTCTCTCTCTCTCTCTCTCCCCCTCTCTCTCTCTCAAAGGTGCGGGGGTGGGGGCGAATGGTTAACGCCTCTGATCATAAGCTCTGTCATTGAGTCATGTGACGTGGCTTCGAATCCCCCAGTGGATGTTAACTCTCTCTCTCTCTAAAATCTATTAAATCTAAAAGTACAAACCATTTTCTCTCAGCCAAGTGGTCTCCTCAAATCAATATCGACGTGGCATCAGGTGGTATAGAATGAATAATACTTTGAACATCAATAATTAATTATATACATTGATTATACAGGTTTCAGAACGATTAAAATCTCGGGGCGGTTTTTGTTCTTTTGACTCTCGACGACTAAAGCTAAAGCCTAGCTCACAACCCGTCGTACGAGTTGACCTATGACAAATTGCAACAGAAGGTCTGTTCGTACCGATGTGTTCGTAAGATCAACATATCCTAAGTTCCCTGGTTTTCGGGGCAGGGAAAGGCCTAATTTACATAAATTCAAAATGGCCGCCAAATGTATCTTTGGATTCTCATAACTCCTTTAATCTGGAGTTTTCACCTTTTAAAATTACTACAGATAGAAATATGACCCCTGCGAGTCAGAATATCTAGTCAGAAATTATAATTTATATCAACCACATGACGTCACCACGTCTTATTTTGAAGTCATAAAAATGACTGAGCTCCTCGGAAGAAGTTAAGTGATAAAAATTCAAATGTAAATAATCACATGAGCATTAAATTGGATTGTCCCATTTCTTCTAAAGTCTTGGTAGTCTATCACATGTCCCCAATAGTATTTATATGTTTATCGTATTTCAAATTAATTTTGGGCTTAATTCACCACCCCTATCCATCTACAACTGCACCTGGTAATACACGCAGAGACTATGATATATTTGAAACATCTAGAGTCGACGGCAAGTTAAGAATCTGGAGACGGTATTAAAATATGTTCTGTATTATATAAGATCCCTACAGTCCACTGTATCAAAATATTTGCTGGTTTTTATTTTCAGGCTCCACTACTACCCGTATTTACTGTGACTTATATTATGATTACATTATTAAAATATTTGCTGTGAGTTATTCCATGGTTATGTTATCAAAATATTTGTCATGATTACGTTATTAAAATGCTGTGATTTATACCATGATTACGTTATTAAAATGCTGTGATTTATACCATGATTACGTTATTAAAATGCTATGATTTATTGTCGTTATTAATATTATGGTTACGTTATCAAAATATTGCCTTGATTTATATTCTTAAAATAATTATTCGGTGTTTTTCAGGTAAATTAATACCCTACGTGGAGAATGTAGTGGGCAGTGCTTCAGCCATGACAATATTAGCTATTAGTATAGAGAGATACAGATTAACATACAGCTGTAAACAACAACACAAGAAATCGTGGCGTCCAATACTTATCACGTCTGCTGCTATCTGGACACCCGCCATCTTGTCATCATTACCATTTATGGTCATCACTCAATATGATAAGAGGCGATTATTGGATGGAACACCGGCTATGGTGTGTAATACACCGATCTATTTACCATGGCATAAATTATACATCGTTGTCATAACCAGTTTCTTCTTTTTTATTCCTTTGATAATTATTATTATCCTCTATGCAAAGGTCTGTCGTAAATTAGTGACGTTATATAAACAAGAAAGGAGTAGGTTCGAAACGTCCCCTATCGAAATAATTCAATTAAAACGACAGATGATCCAAATTATTGTAACGGTCGTGTTAGTGTTTTTTGTCTGCCATACCCCATACAGAGCCATTGTTCTGTGGACTTTATTCGAGAAGAGGGAAAATCTGAGAAATTTTGGATTTGACGCGTACCTGATTGTTTTATATCTAACCCGAATTTTGCTGTTCGCCAATCACGCTATCAACCCGTTCGTTTATAACTTTGTGTCGAGGAAGTTTCGTCGAGCCTTGGTTTGGATTTGTTGTCATAAGCGGCGACGATTGAAAAAAAATGAGGAAGATAACCATAATCATCTGCCACTTCGACGTTTATCTAAGCAACCGGATGTGATTCATCCCGGAAGTTGTTCTGTTAATCGAGAAGATAGAAACCATAGAAACGACTTTCTTGCCTTGTATAAAAATCTAGTTTTATTAGAATATTGACGACTTACTTAGTATATTTGTAGACAGAATAGAGTATCCATTGTGGCGGCATATCAACATTAAGGCGAAAGACGGTGGGTTTTTTATACGATTATTCCATATATAACATTAATTAAAACTTAATTTGTTCTCGGTTAAAAAAAATAATCGTCGATTTCATTCTTTATGTCAGCCAGATGACAGTAGGTCTTCATAGAAAGATGTTATGAATTACAATAATAGAAACGTCATTTTTTGAAATGACGTCATTCAAAATTGTATATTACAATCTGTCCTCGTGGTCAATATAAGCTATGGATAATGACAGCGTAGGGGTATAATCGATTTCTGTTTCAGAAGAACGATATTATGTAAACTAAAATTAGGAAAAATGCTAACTTACGGTCAATTAGAAACTAGTTTAATGTTATACAATGCTGGCCATTAATGGTATACATCAGCTCAATTCAATACTTTAATAAGGCTTTCAAATTTACCAAGTGCTTAGAATTCATTTGTGCTTCTGTAACGACATAGTAAGACATTATGAAAACAGGAATTAGTAAAACTGTATAGAACTTATCTCCACACTAAGATCGGTTATCGATCAGTTTTCGATATTCTAGACAAGTTTAGGATTATAACGATTCATGGATTATTGATCCTGTCTGATTTGTATATATCTATCTATATAAATAAAATCAAGGATGTGTGTGTGTATGTATTTGTGTATGTTCGCCCCATCACGCTTCGTCGCCGCGATCCACGCCCACATATGTGCTATCAAAGTAACCAGCATGATTCTGTGAATATTTTAGGCTATCGAATTTGGGCCTGGGCCTGGGCGAATCACGCTTCTTCGTCGCTCTGCACATAATTATGTGGTATCAAATTAACCAGAATGGCCCAGTGAATGATTAAGGCCATCGAATTTGGCCCCCGGGCAAATAGCGCCCCGGGCGAATTTGGGCACCGTGCAAATTTGCACCCCGGGCGAATTAGGGCCGCAGGCGAATTTGGGTCCGGGGAGAATTTGGTCCCGGAGGAATTTGGTCCACGGGTGAATGTGCGCACCGGGCGAATTTGGACCAGGTGCGACTTTGGACCCCGGGCGAAGTGGGGTATCCTGCAAATCAACAATAAATTTGATCCCGGTTTGAAGATAGAGACGATTACATAAAGTCTGATAATCGTCATCAATCAATATTACAGCCATATGATTCATTCTGGAATGATATAACGGATTTTAGTATCTGTGTTCCGTGGTTAGCACATCATCCATCAACATTACAGATCTAACAACCGACACTGTGGTTAACACTATTCACAAACAATCTTCATATTATTATATCAACGGTTTCTGTGACTGTTTTTCACAGAGAAGTGTGAGAATTACGGTACGGATATCTAAATAAACAGTAAGCACGGGTTCAGACGTTTCCCGCGTCGCCTCCTTGTGTTAGTCGCCTCATGACATTAGAAATAGATCAAATCGGTATAAATAAAATATGATTGTTGAAAACATTTATACATTAACGTGATTAATATGGTTTTAACATCAACAGATTAAAATGGGTCACATTAACGCAATATCATGAGTTTTTAATAGTATGGGATATCGCTTCCCGAACAACATAGCTCTTGTATTTCATCGCCATGTGGAATGGATTTCATCCATCGGGGTGACCGTCGAAAACCACACCCCAACCCACCCACTCGCCTTTAATCATTGGTTAAAAAAAACACCGTGTGAGGGTGGGCAAGATTTCGTTGAACAATAGTCCGATTTTCGAATGGTTAGCCCTCATAAATTCAAACGGGGTCAAATATCGACGATTGATGAATGAAGTTTTTGCATGTAGAATTGATCATATATGATATTAATTTTATGATCGATGTCCAGTCATTACTGTAGTCTACGGAAGACCATTAGGGTCAATCAAAGGAAAAAAAGGAATTCTGATTATCTTGTTATGTTGGTTTTGGCTTTACACAGTTTTTATTGTCTGCAGAAGTTACCGAGTTTAGAGACTTTTGTTCCATTTCAACAGAAAATTAAAAACTGTGCAAAGTCAAAACGGCCAAAATTCGTCACGTTTATCGCGAACGAACGAATCTGGGCTTATTAAACACGGTAAGCACGATAAATATAATGTAAAACATTTATTTGTGATTTAATATTACAGACAAATACATCACCTAACCTAACCAGTTTATTTGTTACTTTTGATACCTTTCACTTTGATAAAGGTCGCATTCGCCATTTCGTACGAAAGTGTGAAATGGTACGGTTCACATTCGGCCGTATTCGCCACTTTTTTTTTTATCTTGGACAGTTTATGGCATTCTAATCATGTTCGTCATAAATTTGTCGATTCGGGAGAATATTTTATCCAAAGTTCCTCAATTCGCCATAGTGTATAAAATCAAGCGCAATACTATTGAACACAGAATCTCAAGGCGTCACAATAGAGTAACTTACAAATTCATAACTTTTATAGTCAAAACGACCATAGACTGGCCATGATGGTCATAAAATAAATAGTTAAAAAATAGATAATTTAAACAGAATATGCTGAAAATTTCAGTTAAATTGGTCCACTCTGAGCCGAGAAGCACTTATGAATTATGTTATCTGGAAAATTACAATTAATTAATTGTGAACACGGTCAACACAATATATAACATATTGTAAAACAATACAAGTTGGTTAAAGTTACAATAACATAATTCAAATCTCTACAATATTATAACTGTCAAATTACTAATAATATATTGTAAAACAATACAAGTTGGTTAACGTTACAATTCAAATCTGTACGATATTATAACTGTCAAATTACAACTATCTCTAATAATATAACATGAACTCTTCGATTTATATTTATCCTTTGTGTATCTTATTTCTATAAAATCTGACGCCATTCTTCATCTGAGGAGATCAAGTAATAAATATAATGTTACTTGTAGGGCATTGTTTAATAAAACAGTCGCATTTCATTACTTTCACGATTAAATTACCTAAAAAAAACCAATCCCCTATTTCTGTCACATTCTGGCTCCTTCTTCATTATCCCAGTCGGTGCATTTCAAATTCTGGTGACGTTAGATTGAGAACACAATACTCTGTATGTTTCAATACTTGAATACAATGACATTATTCAACAGCTAAATCTAACCTTTATTAAACTTCTTTTTCTAGCTTCAGATGTTATATAGATTCTTGTTTAGACATTGTCATATTTCCACATTTGTTGTCGTATTTCCACATTTGTTGTCATATTTCCACATTTGTTGTCGTATTTCCACATTTGTATACTAAAACTAACATGTGTATCTTAAAATCAATATTTGTTTTACAACTCAGACATTTTTCATATCAGAATTATAAATTATATTTTTGTTTAATTTAGTTTTATTTTAATATAAAGATAAAATTTATTTTAGAAAATCAAACAATAGCCTACATTTACATTTCATCATAGACGTACAACGAAATACAAATCTCGAACAACAAATTTCCAAAATAGATGTTATCTTTATATTAAACAATAATTAAATTAACCAAAAATACAATTTATAAATGCCACCACGGCGTCCAGGCTAGCGAACCAGCGTCTTACCACTTAGCCACCGTGGCTCCCTTATTCTTACTGAACCTTAGTATCGATGTAGTTTATTAAAGATACATTATGGGAGATTCGATAACGAGTTGGCAGTTCTCACTATAATAATTAAAAACTAGATAACGTAAAGGCAATTTGCTGAAAATTTCATTCAAATTGATCCACTATGAACCGCGAGAACTAAGCGAATAAAATTTCTACCTCGCCTAGGTCATCATTACTAAAGTCAGTACTTTAAACAGCATAGTCTAGATTATCCATTTAATCGTTTAATCGAGAAGGAAAGTTATGCAGTAAATCGGATCACAATCCACTTAAGATCGCAGGCTAGCGATGCCATCTAGAGTTGATTATGGTCTGGATAAGTTAATTAATGTCTAATTAATAATCTATATAACATTTCATGCCCAAAGAAAGACCTGCAATAGGCTGATTTAGCTCTTGTATAATGTATGTTTAAACGAATGATTTGTTAGTTTACTTACTTCTACTTACTCGTAACCCACACGACCTGTATAGGTAAAACAGGTATTTTATATTGGGTCATATTATTGTATATATCATACAGCTGATATCTTCCATTACAGGCACTCTAATGAATTAAGATTTACCAAATGGCTGACAACTAAATAAGAAAATGAAATGAAATGAAATGGGGTTTAATGTGCCTACTTTTCAGCTCCTACTGGGCATACAGTGTGTTATGAGGGAAATTTTGCCCGGGCAGTGGTAATATGGCCTATATATCGAATTCCAACGGCCAAGGGTTTTTTTTCGTGCACGGATTCTCGGTTTTTGTCCCATCCTAACGACTAGACAGCTGTCTTTGTCAGGCCCTAAGTTCTGTACCAATGACAAGCGGAAACCAAGCCGAAAAATCCATATAAATTTTGTCGGCCAATGCAGGAACGAACACGCATCTTCCAGGCTAGTGAGGCAGCGTCTTACCCACTTAGCCACCGTGGCTCCTCAACTAAGTAAGATATATCTTCCTAGTTGGAGTGGGGATCACTTGGCTAATTGGGTAAGACGCTGCCTCACTCTGGTGTTTGATCCCTGCATTGGTCGGGAAAGTTCATCGAGATTTTCCGGCGTGGTTCCCCCTTGTCAGTGATGCATGAGACGAAAAACCGAGGTCCCGTGTGTACATTAGAATGCACGTATAGATCCCTTGGCAGTTGGAATTCGATATAAGAGTAGGCGATAGTGCCGCTACCCGGGCAAAATTTCCCTCATAGCACACTGTATGGCGTATGCCCGTCTTCATTAGCCCAGCATAGGAGCAGAACAGTAGGACGTTAAACCCCATTTCATTTCCTTGTTGGAGTGGATGTCATAGGTTCAAACTGCGAGTTCGGTTTAACTGCTCTCTTAGCTCAGTTATGTAAAGAGAAACCGTCTACCTGATTGAATTAAAATATTTAAAAAGAAACGACAATCTGTGTGTATGGCCTGGTTGAAATAGATTTCAAACTGTGTATTCGGTGGAAGTTCACTCTTTGACCTACTATGTTACCGGAATACATGGCATTCTATCGGACTTAATTGTTGCTGTGTGTGCAGTTAAACTCTTTGACCTATTATACAATCGGAAGCCATGATGTTATACCGGAATTACATCACTATAGAAAAAAAAACTATATCAGTAATATGTGATGGAAATATGGAAATTATAGTAAAGAAAAACATGTTACCTGTCAAAGACAACTGCAATTATTTCTCTTTTTTCAACGGATTCCTTTCACATGTCTTACCAAAGGAAACCAATTAAGTTGGTTGCTGCTGACATGATGATGTCAGTACATTCATTCTATTGCATTTATAGAAGTCGTCGGGCATTGTAAAACATTGCATTCACCCAATCTAGTTTAACTATTCTGACTTCGTCTCTCAGAGGTTAGAGTTAAATACGCATGGGCAAATACCATCATCTGGCATATATTATGTGTATACATCCGGTCAAAGCTTCTGTGAAAGATTGTTGAACTAGATCTTTCCACTAATACTTTTAGATGTCATTCTTTCCCCACTC